ATGAAAGAGGTGGTGGCGTCCCTATCTACCTTCGTAGTTTCTTAGCTTTCAAAATTCTCGCCTCTTCCTCCTTCAATCTACCCACCTACGCGGAATACCTTTTCCTCGAGGTTTGTGTCAAGGGTGTCAACGTAATTCTAGGTGTAGTCTACTGCCCCCCCAACTGTTAACTACTTCTCCAGTCTGGAAACAGTTCTTGAATCTTTAGGGTCGGAACACTCGCATCACATCATCATGGGCCATTTCAACACTGACCTCCTAGCCCTAAACTCTCCTTGTACACGCAATCTCCTTCTGATCATTCAAGCAACCTAATTTAGACTACCAGGACACCTGGCTAGATCTAATGCTCATTTCTGCCCCACACCTCGTCTCTTCCCACGGACAACTCCTTGCTCCTCCTTGGGTTTTCCCGTGATCTTCTTTTCCTATATCCTGAAACCTCCCAAACTACCTCCTAAACTTCTTCAGATTCGCAGTTGCCGTCGCATTGATAATGACAAATTACACGAGGATGCTGCTAAGATCAATTGGGAGGATGTGGCAGCTGTTACTGACGTGGACAACAAAATCTGTATTTTTAATAACACCGTAGAAAAATATGACGTCCACGCTCCTATTAGGAGAGTAAAATTAAAACGTACCCCGGCTCCTTGAATGACGAAGGAGGTCCGAACTGCTGTGTGACGAAAGGACCAGTCCTTCCTTCGTTTCAAGTGAGATCGCTGCGAAGATAAATGGAACCTTTATAAGGCTGCAAGGAATCGGTGCAACCAGGTGATACGCAACGCTAAACGCCGACATATTCTTTAACAGTCTTCTTCTTCGTCCAGTATCTGGAAATTTCTTGGTACTTTTGGAATTGGTAAACAACAATGGGATGTTGTTATTTATAAATTAGGTTGCTAGAATGATCTGAAGAAGATTGCGTGTACGGGGAGAGTTTTAAGGCGGAATTTTATCTCCTCTCTTATTCTCAATATTTATTAACCTCATAACTCAACATCTTCAGTGTGCGTATCAGCTGTATGCTGATGATCTACAGCTGTACTCACAGGCAAGGAAAGAGGACATAACGCAGGCTATTGACGAGGTCCACAGGGACCTTGAGGTCATAAAATCCTCTTCGATGAGATTTTGACTGTTGGTCAATCCAACCAAATGTCAGGCGATTGGATACTGCCTCAATCTCACCCATCGTCTTCAATGGTTTAATTATTCCATTCAGCCCTGCAGTCAAAGACCTGGGCTTACTTATCGACTCAGCCCTCGATTGGCGAGCTCAAGTTACTAGCGTGAGTCAGAAAATTACTGGCAATTTGCGAACATTATATCGTCTCGAGAATTTCCTTCCTTCTAAGACTAAAACCACACTCATGCAGTCCTTAATAAGCCCAATAATTGACTATGGTGATGTGTGTTATTTCGACCTGAATGCAGATCTTCTTAATAAGCTAGACCGTCTTCTCAATAACTGCATTCGATACATTTTCAATCTTCGGAAGCATGACCATGTGTTTGCTTTGCGTTCTCAACTAAACTGGTTACCTATTCGCTTGCGCCGGAAACAGCGTGCACTTACCTCTCTATTTTCATTTCTCAACTCACCTTCCTCACCTACTTACCTTACTCCCTACTTCCGTTGTTTGTCCACTAACCACGACAGCAATCTTCGCTCAGTTAATAATCTGCTTCTCTTATGTCCCTTACATAACTCCGACTTCGTGAGCTCTTCGTTCTTTGTTCAAGCAGTACTATTCTGGAATGCGCTCCCGCTCGAAGTCAGGATGGCCACAAACAGTTTTATTTTCAAAAAGAAGGTACATGATCTCCTTCTTAACGAAATGGCAGAACTATCTAATCGATAGTATACCTCATATTCCGGTCTTCATAGAGTGCGAATATAATATGTCTATGTATCTATATAAATAAAATAAAATATATATATGTATATATATGATTGCATATGTGTGTATTTGTGACGTGTTGTGCTGTATATGAGTATGTGTAAGTTTGTGTATGTAGCGAACCGTTACATATATGTCATTCATTACTTAATATATTAAGACGTTACCTCTGTGCACATACCTTGCAAGATTTCCACACCACCTAAAGGTTGACTGGAAGAGGAAGCTCTGGGCATTAAGTCCGCCGATGTACAAGTTAAAATATATTAAGAATATTAAAATAGATTTATTAAAATAGGTAAGATAAGATAAGATAAGATAAGATAAAGTTTATTTTCTCTTCCACAAAGATTACTTAATACTAGCTTATTACAGTAATTGCTCAAGACCATTGTGGGAGACTGGCATCTGCACTAGGGAACCCTGTCACACAGATTGCCAGGCCCCCCATAGTACAAAGTTTGTATCATAATAATATTCTACCACATACACACAACGCCATCTAGTCCCAAACTAAGCAGAGCTTGTACTATGGGTACTAGACAACTGATATAAATACATATATACTTTTTTTTTTTGTAAATACATACATATTATACATAGAAACACCCAGACCAAATCAAACATCAAATGTTCATGCACACAAATGTTTGACTTGAGCGGGAATCGAACCCGCGATCTTTGGAATAGCAGTCCGTTACACAAACCACTACGCCATCCGGTCGTCAATGCTTATGTCTAGTTATTGGCAAAAGAAAAATTAAAAAAATATAATTAAAAAAAAAAGACAAAAATAAAAAATACACATAAAACATCTTGCCAGTTAAAACATTTAGTCATTAGTTTTATTTTTATGAGTATGCGCTTTCGTGTGTGCGCCCGTGTGTGTATATTTGTGTATGTGTGTATGTTCGTGTATGTGTGTGTGTATGTGTGTGAGCGTATATTGCTTTAAGAGCTTAGGTTTTATTTTGCGATAGTTAGTAATTTTTCAGTAGATTCGTAGTTGTATTCTAAAAGATGTGAAGTAAGTACTTGCTTACATTTAACCCTGGTTAAAGGATATAAATTAAGGACAGAATTGAGTTTGTTATATAAATAATTACCTAGGAAACTGTAGCTGCGTTGGGAAAGGCTACTTTTACATAATATTTTAGGGCAAACTTTAGTTTTAATTCGTTTGTGAGACTGTAAAGTAGGTTGATAGATTATCTCTGAGTGTTTGCGCAGTATAGTGTTGAGGACGAAGAGTTGACGGACCGTTAGTACCTTGCATTTTGCGTAGAGTTCGTTTGTTGAATGAAAAAAAGGAAGGCAATGTGCAACTTTGAGGACTGCTCTTTGTGCACGTTCTAATTTAATCAAATGGGTTTTAAAGTTAAAGTGCTTTAAGTTAGATTAATAAATAAATACAACGCATCAAAATGTTACTATATTTCGAGACGACCGGGCAGACGTCGTTGACCCGCTTGGTCAGTCTGACTTTATAGCTCATCGCTCCTCTTGGGGCTCTAGACGTGACGCAACCTTTGCACTCCCTTAGAAATTCTGGATGGTTTTTATCAATAGTTCTCGTTAATGCAACCACAATGTGTCACAGCGGATCGTGGCAGAACACAGATAGTCCCATATAAAAGTAAGTTTACTAAGAATGGCTTTTTATGAGAAATCCTAAGTATATAAAAAAATCCGGTAAAAGAGTATTTACTGATATAAAATTAAGCTCCACAATTCTCTCACAACTGCCATATTCACTTAATGTTTTTTTATGTATCACATCAACAGCCTTCAATAGTCCACTGCTGGACATAGCCCTCTCCTAAAGGAGGTTTTGGCCTACTATACCACGCTAACCAGACGGGTCGGCATAGGGTTTGTGTTAAGTTTTCCTTCTTTTTGCAGTGCTGGTGTCCTGCGTTGTTTTGCGCCCTTAGTCGACTCTTACGACACCCACGGGATGAATTGGGGTAGGGACATTTCGTATTCTTAATCCGTGACGGATGACGGTATGTATACGGATAATCATACGAGTTATTAGGAACAAAAGAATAAAACTGAAAGGTGTGTGTTAATAAGAGTGAAAGAAATTGTTTGCCTTTATAGTTCCATAAACGGGTCGGGAACTGTAATGCTTACAAATAAAACTAGTACATCTCATTACAATAAATCATTGTCTTTCTTATATTTTGAAGAAATAAAACGAATAACATATCTCGCTCCCGACTTTCATTTCGTCCTCAAACATGTTTCTTGCGTGTGTGTGTCCGCATGTGTTTCCCTAAATTACCCTTACATGAGAAAAAAATCTTACACATATCACACTGAAATGGTTTCTCACCAGTGTGCGTACTCATGTGATTACTTACTTTATGCTTGTCTGAGAATTGTTTTTTACATATAATACAATGAAACGGTTTCTCACCGGTGTGTATACGCATATGGCGCCTGCAAACATCTGATCGTGAGAATTGTTTCTCACACATATTACAATGATATGGTTTCTGACCAGTGTGCGTACAGCATATGGTCAATTAAACCATTCTTTGCCATGTATTTATTTTTACAGATGTCACATTGATATGGCTTCTCACCAGTGTGTGTACGCATATGAGATATTAAATTATCCCGATATAAAAATCGTCTCATACATTTGTCACATTGATATGGTTTCTTAATAGTGTGTTTACGCATATGTATGGTAAACAAACCCTTTGATACGAATTTGCGTTTACATATATCACAATATGTTTTCTCGCTTGTGTGTTTACTACGCATATGATAATTTAAAAAACCCTTTGATGAGAAACTAATGTTACACACAGTACACTGATGTAGTCTTTGAGCGGTGTGTGTATCAGTACTTGTACTGTACCCTCGTGAGATATCTTTCTTCCACACATCAGAGCTTAGGCAAATGTGTCTCTCTAACTCACACTTAGAACTGTAACATTGCTGACACGTGTCGCACGTATATTGTACACGTTCGCTGGGCGGTACACTTGTAGGTCTCTGTTTATTGTCATCGGCGAGAGTGAATGTCACTGCATTTGTGCTTTTTGCTGTCATTTTGTGTACAGCAGTGGCTTTATTAACTTCTTGTAATGTGTCATGTATGAGTTCATGGTTTTCCAAGTTTCTAGAGGTTAAATCTTCTGGATTCCTCTGTACAGCTTTTTTAAATCTCTTCAAGTTTAGATCACCTGGATAAAAGATAAAAATAGTATTTAGATTATTTCTAAGCTTGTAAACTCTGGAATCAAAAACTATAAGTACAATATAAAAAACCGAAAAGACAAATATTTTGTACATAAACTTATTACCGAGTTCTAAATAGAAGAAGGCCAACAGGCCGGAAGGTATCTATAGCATTTATAATGATAGCTATTGCATTGGGTATCACATTTAGTTAGTTAGTCTTGTTTAGGTTCACTTAGGTTTATTTTTCACTTTTTATTTGGTACCCGTTGGCCGTGGTGTTGGAAGTCCGGTCAACTTTTTTTAAATAGTAGTTATTTTTGGTATAAATTAAGCAGTGGTGTGAACCATAAATTGTTGTTCTGGGCCTTTTTTTTTTTTTTTTTCCGTGCTTAAAACCGCACGCCGTCTCGGGTACTATTAGCCGGGGAACCAAGTATACCCTAGAAAGGAAGTCCCTGTTGCCCCGACATACCTCGGGCCATCTACAGCAACAGGTAGACGACCCCCCCCGTGTGGGAACCCCATGTTCCCTGTGCTCCCTACAGGCGAGCGCGCTTCGCAAAGCGCTCGCCGCTACCCCGGCCTGCTTCTGCTAGGGTGACAGATGGCCTCACCTGTCACCCCCAGGCCTGCGCTTATGGAGGACGGAGGTCGTTCTGCGACCTCCGGCGCCTGAGTCGCCTGCGGTACCTGGCCCGTTCCCGGGCCTGGCGGGCCGGGAGAGTCCTAAACCTCTCCCGGTCCCGCTCCGCCGTCTCGAGCATAACTTGCTCGCTGAAGGAGACGGCAGAGTTCCACGCACTCTCGCTCCGCACAATAGCCGCAATCAGGCTATCGAGCGAGAGAACTCCCACTCCGATGGCCGCCACGAGGTCTCACTTCTGCTCAACCCACGCCGGGCACTCTGCCAGCGTGTGGAGAGCCGTGTCCACGGTCTGGCCATCGCAGTGGTGGCACTCAGGCGGGTTGTTGTTCTGCGCCTGGGTGTTCTTTGTGTATGTTTGTAAAGTTAAAGTTAAATGTTATGTTTATAAAGTCCCTTGAGAGATATACGGGATATACACCTAGTGCGAGCGTTGTCTTTAAAAAAACACACAATATACATACTTGTCCAGTCTCCGGACTGTTCTTCGTTTACTAATGTAAGCGAAGAACAGTCTGGAATGCAATTATTGAGACGGGGAGGACGATTAGGTCGGGAGAGCACGCATCACCATAATCGATAATAGCGAAAACCCGTGCTAGGGCCCACAAATAGTTGTCTCAAGTCTGGGTGTTTCGTGTCCGCTCTTAGTGAAAGAGTTGTTTATTTATAGGAGAAATACAGAGTATACTTACTTGACTGTTCTTTCTTCACAATCATTAGAGGACCATCGTCTGAGTCTGCAGATTGTATGATGTCAGAGACGCTGTTGTCTTCTAGAGCATCCTCGTCGGTATCTATGAACAAGTGCAATTAGGTTTGTACGGCTCCTCTTTATTTGCTGAAGCCATGGAAGAGCCATGCTGAGGCTCTTCTCTGAGGCTGTTACTAGAATTGGTGCTTAGCAATTTTTGCACTTGCTGTGCTTAGCTCACTGAAGGGAAACCTCTCACTTTCTGGGCGAGCAGGGACTCAAAAAACAAACGCATTTTGCTAAAATAGGGATTGCAATCCAGCAAGTGGGATCGCACGATCCAGCGGGATCCTGCATAATTTTAGGCCTTGCATCAGCCGGTGCAAATTTATCCAAATTGCCGCCTTTAATCTACTCAGCAACGCGTTTTACGAGCGACGTTGACGTTCAATCTTTTGTTTTGCGTCTGAATTGCACGCACACTCGCGCAGTCTGATTTGCGCCATCACGACGCGACATGTCAGTCAGTTGTGATTTGACTCGTCAACGTGGTTTTGTTTTAGTGACAAAAACAAAACCACGTAAAATGTAGGCGATCCGCAAGGTTAGTATAATGTTTGTTCACTTGTCGTCGAATTAGCTATTATTATAACCCCAAGGAAGATATCGTCCTTGTCCAATATTATATGTTATTGTCTTTATTATACGCAGGACTGCCATTTGTACGATGTAAATCCTGATGTTATTATAAATTTGATAGATTTTCGTTAACTGATTTGAATATGTTTTTTTTTAATTTAATTGCCAAACGTTTGTACTAGCCACTAGTTATTTACAAAGTCAGAAATTATTGCTTTACTGGCAATATTAAAGGATGTTTCTTTCAAAACCGGAAGGCTGTTGGTGAGAAAAATGAAAAAAACTTGAGGCATTATTTCAAAAAGTCTGAAGATGGAGGGAAAGCAAAATATCTTCTAATGTTCTATTTTTTTTTTAATTAGCCAACGTTCTACCACTGGCCTAAAAACCCACTTGAAAACTAAACACTGTTTAATAATAGGTAAATCATCTCAACTAAACACGGAGGTATTATCTAGAGCACCCTCACCGTCGACATCATCACAAAATATTGTTGAGGAAGAAGAACTTCCCAAGAAGAAAAGTAAAAAAACTATCGATGGCTTAAATAGCCATAACGAAAATTCAATGCAAAAAATAGTTTCGTTTAGTTATTAAAGAGTGGTTTTGAACTTCGAAACTTTCCTAATACAAACAGATCCACAGTTACAAATGTTTCAAATACAGTTAAAAATTACATGATTATCGAATTTTCACATCTCAAGAAACAATCACAAAGATTTTTGCTTGGCTTCGACGAGTGGAAATCTCAAAAAAACCGCCGATATTTGAACGTAAATGTTCATCACAAAGAAACTTGGTCTGATTCGAATACATGGTTCATGTACTGCTGAGCATTGTATTGAATTGGTTAAATCGCTTGGCGAGTTTTGGTCTTGACTTTAAAACCGATATTATCGGCATGACTACTGACGGTGCAAGCGTCAAGCTTTGGTTTGCACACGATATACAGTTAGCTGTGTGCGGTATTCTGTACAAAAAAAAGGGTCGAAGGAGATATAGAACTTACAAATAAGTCGTTGACCTATTTGGATATCGATGACGAAAATGTGGAAGTAATAAACGATGAGCAAGGTTTGTGTTAGATATCGACACAAGGGCAAGGGCATCGACACAAGGAATACGATTGCCGGTTCGCTATGAACTGGTTTATTCTATAAACAATACAACGGCCGGCGGCGTCGTGCGGGGGGAAGGGCGCGCTGTATACTCGTATCTATTTTTTTTTAATTTTTATGTTTCACTTCATTTTCTCTTTTATTCGATTTTTTTTTCTTAATCTTGTTTTCTCTTCATTGTCTTTTTACCATTTAGTCCTTAACAACGGACATACTGGCACACATCAAAAACAATGTTGTGGTATATTTAATAATGCCATTGTATCTATCTGTGAATTGCAGTTGTGGCAGTGATTTGTGTAGGTTCCAAGAACAATTTCTTCAGATTGTATGATTAAAAAAGTGCCTTGAACTTGGTTACTATACTTGAATTTTCCAAAAGGTTAATATTGAAGTCACCACAGATGATAACCTTCTTTTTTGATCTTGTTACTTTAACTAATACTTCATCCATAACACGTTCAAAACAATCATACATAGCTGAAGGAGGTCTGTATACACATACTATTATACTATGAAACCTTTTAGTTCTAAACAGGCTATTTCTGTAGTTTGCTCAACTGATAAACTAACAATGTCAGGGCGCTCTTTAAACTTAAGTTTCTTATTAATGAGTATCATAGTGCCACCATGTATTGCTGTACTTCTGCTGAACGAGCTGCCTACCTGGTGGTGGTCAAAATTGAACATAAACTGATCCCCTTTTAGCCAGTGTTCAGTAATACAAAAAATATCAATTGCATTGCAGTTCATGAACAGTTCCACCTCCAAGTCTTTGCCCATCATTCCTCTAATGTTTAGATGCGCCAAATTTATATTATTTATCTTATTATTTTTAATAAATTTACTGCGATTGAACTTTCTATTAGTGTTCAAATTAATAGTGCAAGAGGTAGCCTCTATAGTCTTATCAGTAAATTTAAATTATTTGAAATGTCAATCTCATTATTATGCAACTTATTAGATATGTCATTTAAATTTTTATAAACGTCTAAAGAAATATCTGCCAACGGATTGGCAAAGTCGCTATGGGTAATGTCAATTTACTCAATAGAAGCAATAGTTTTAGCCAAGTTCTTGGCTGTAATGGAAAAATAATATGATAATAATATTAATAATTAGAAAGGTAATGTCTACCTTTTGTCAATGAAATATTATTACTAACAAGCTTGTTAGTGTCGATTAGGTGTAATTTATTACAATAGGGTCCATTTATTTGGCAAGTTAGGTTGTGCATTATTATATTTAAATTATTTCTAACATTTTTGTCACCATATCTAACACGACAACCCTTTGCTAAGAGGAAGTGACGGAAAATGTACAGTCACCATGATACAGTCATGTATGATACGGATACAGATACGCGGCAACTCACTAGCAAATACCTTTGAACCACGTCATGTTTATGTCACGTAAAGAGACCAAATAATTAAATGTTAAATATTACCTTCACAATCATTTGGTTCAAGTTTTACTTCACACTTCAGAGCCTCCACACCAACATTGTCTGCATTCATCTCCAGTTCATGTCCTATGCTCAAGTGTACGACATTGTGCATGGTGAGTCTCTTCTTGCTGTTTATTCCTTGCAGTTTCACTTGGTCGGACTGTTGGCAAGATAAATTATTAACAAATTGAAAACTACATATGTTGTTGTTATTGCTTCAAGCCCATTAATATTTGGTACAGGACAATTCAGCAATTCCTATAACAATATGAGAAAAGGAGTACGGCAGATCCTGTACCCCTAGTAATATATGATGGATGATTTTGAAATTTGTACCGTTTATATAGTCAATCATCCTTACTAGTCGATACTTGGCTAGTCGTTGTCGTAAATACAAACCGAAATACCCGTATGTACAAACACAATCACCAGTATGGTTATACGGTTATATGGTTTTCCCATCCGAACACAGTGCAGTTCGAACTGAGCCATCATCGAGACTGATGTCCCAACACCGACAACATCTCCAATGCCTGCATCTCCTCTCCAACATCTATTCCATCTGCACTTAATTCCCCCCTAATCCCTTCGCACGCTCAGACCACATCCATACTACAAAGGCGAGACGAGCGACTTTGTAGTATATTCGCAAGTCGCCGGTAGCCTATATCTTCGTCTCAACCACAAAGTGCAACCCTAACAAGCCCACCAATGAACTACGCACTACTACAGATCCAAGCATTCCTCGCCTTTCTCCAACGCCAGCACTAGCTCAACCCACACCAGCTACAGAACCACGTGGCCGGCGATTAAGGCGACAGCCAACGCTTAGTGCGGGGACCGCACGCCGTATTTTGATAACTAAATCACAGGCGGCCGGCGATTAAGGCGAGAGCCAACGCTTAGTGCGGGGCCCGCACGCCGTATTTTGATAACTAAATCACCGCGGCAAACTCAAATAGAAGAGGATGGAGTTATGGAGGATATTGATAAAAGGTACTTTAATATAATTTACTAACAATTAAATATAAAAACGTTTACAGGCATTTAAAAAATTAATGTATTGGATATGTGCCCCACAGGCAGCGAATAAGGCTACTCCTGGTACTCATAATGTGTATGGACAGTTCCAGCATCAGGATCCACTGCATATGCATCTAAGCTTCTCTAAGCATTTCTTCATTACTCAATTCAGGCACAAGAACATTTGATCCATTACAAATGTTATGTAAAATAACACAAGCATTAACGATAGATGCAGCTACGTCCGGTTTGTAGTGTAGAACTCTGTGCACGAGAAGGCAACGAAAACGGCCTTTGAGAATCCCGATAATCCTTTCAATTGTATTTTAAAAAATAGCCACTGAAATTCTTGCTGATCTATGATAACATTTTCAGTTAACTACCTACCTATCTTATATTATTACATATTCACCGATTGTGTATAGTGCGCGTCCGTTACCTTTTCTACTTCATCTATAAACTCGTGGACAATAGTGTGGGTTATGCTAAATCAATTGTAAAGACTGCATTGTACGAGTATAACTGTTTTTTGTCGCTAATAAATAAAATAAAAATTAATTATTTATATGTATATGGTGTTTTATATATATGTATAGTCGACCCGACAAACGTTGTTTTGCCATTTATTATTATTTCAATATCTTTTTCAAAAAAAAAACATGGTTAAGAAAAATAGTTGTTGGCCGATTCTCAGACCTACCCGATATGCTCCACAAAATTTCACGAAAATCGGTCGAACCGTTTCGGAGGAGTTCAACCACGCACACCTTGACATGAGAATTTTATTTATTATATTGTTCAACTGGTTACTTTTATAATAATTAGGTAAATGGATTTTTTGTCAAGCTCCTTTGTTTCAGCGTTAAAATTAATTATTCTAGATTATTTTTGATGTTTATATTTACCACCAATGACCAAAAAATAAACAAATAAGTAGTTTAGTTAGCTTGAAATAAATTAGGAACGATAATGTCTTGTAAGTCTTTTCTAAAGCTATATAATTCTATTTCAGAATTTATTGTAACCTTCCCTAACAACTATGTATATTCATTAAGATTTTTTGAGTGTTCTTTAGAGAGGAGAGGCCTATGTCCAGCAGTGGACAAGTAAAGGCTGTTGATGTGATGTGATGTGTGATGTGAAGAGTTCTTTGAATGGGTGCACATTCCATATGAAAGAATCATGTGTGGCACCCCCATAGCTAGTATCCACACTGGTAATTTGCATATCTGCATCACAAATCTAAAAGAAAGTTGCACAGATTGCTAAAATTTAAAGTAGGTATATACTTAACTTAGTTCCACATAATTATAATAATGCATATCTATTCTTTCACTAAGTACCAATGCAAACATACCATCTCTAATTGGCTGAAGTCTCTTAACTATGAGGAAACTGAAAGCTTGCTGTTTGTTCCTATATGATATATTTCATTCGTCTCATTCATCCAGTATTTACCGTTGCTACTGGATTTGGTGGTTTATCAGCTGTTTCTGATCCCAAGATGAACTTGGGAACTAACTCTGTCATAGGGTTTGCTCACACATATACACACACACACACACACACACACACGTGTCACACGAACGCAAACACACACACACACACACACACACACACACTGTAATATTAATTTTTTTTTTATTGAATGTTAATTGTGTAATGTTAATGTTATCTGTGTTCCAAATAAACGAATAAACTAACTGGTGGCACCACAAATCCTAACAAAACTAATAATCTCGGGCGCCAGGTGCCTTAACCTTAAATGAACACAGACAACTACACAAATACAATGAATGCCTCGAACAGCTCGGTCAGCGCTAGACTTTTAATCTAGGACGGGGGGCAGCTATTAAATGCAAAGATGTTATAAGTTTAAGTGGCAGTTTATTATCCCGTAGTGTCTGTAGGGTACATGGTAACTTATAGGTCTATAGTTACAAATGTAATTCTTATACTCAAATTAGTACTGTCATTAATGCAATCTGTTTAACTGGTTAAAACAAACTAAAATTTAATATGTTTTGAAGAGTCACATAAAGACTTAATAAATAGGAAATGAATCTAAGGGTAGTTTAACAACGCCAACAAAATTATTATAATAAAGAACATACCTAATGACTTTGGCTCTGTCCGTATGAAATTAGAGTAAACTTAATTCTTATAAACCTCACTCGTGCTCCCACGTGGTTGTAGTGGCGGGGTAAGTATTCCAAGGTTCCTGATAATGGACTGCAGCTAAGCAGCTTTTTCTACCATTATAGGGACGCTCCGCAGCCAACTAAATCCTTGCATCGGGCCGGTAGTGAGGTATAAACCAATTGTAACGTAAGGACATTACAATCTAATAAGAGAATTAAACTAAAGGGTAAACAAAGATCTGAAGTAAGGTAAGAAAATAAGATAAGAAAAGAAAATAAGATAAGAAAAGAAAATAAGGTATAAAAAGAAAATAAGGTATAAAAAGAACCCTGTTTCATCTGAAACAACGAAAATTATAGGTTATTTGCCTATCTCAAAAGATGAATCCTAAATCTGGTAAGATACAATAATTTACTCACCAGGGTTCCAAAACGTTTCACAAACAAAGCAGCGGCATTATGATTAATTCCTGTAACCAAATAAACAAAGATTTAAAACAACTAATCTCCATAAGCCAAGCATGAACCATGCGGCTTAACAAAACTCACCTTTACAATGAAAATAACAATTCCAGCAAATAACTCGTGTCATTAACGAGACTGGCCAAACATTAAAAGATGAATTATGCCCTCGTTTACAGCAAACAAATAGTGATTACTAATATAAAAAAATATATCGCCCCGCGTAACTAATTTCACACGGGCCGAGGACCAAAGTGACGGCCATCTTGCCATAGCCAAAACTCCGCTCTTCACTATAACGCGTCAGAAAAATGTTGCCAGAACGAGAAAACTAAATCGATACATTACCATAGACGATCAGCACCGACCCCTATTCCCGTCCTTGACACCGTCAATCGGAGCTCACTAAAACGTCCTAAAATTCGACCGTCAAACCAAAAACGATAAATAAATTTTCTGTAATGGTGCGAAATGCACCGTTACAACACACACAAACTCACACACGCACTATACACTGAGACACTTGCACTCTCATATGTATACACACACACACAACACACAATCACCTACACATGCAGCATAAAACATGCACATATTTACACTTACATTCATATATATATATCTTCTTACACACACCCATACACCGATATCTTTAGTCATATTACAGGTTAGAGAATACACATTCATTCATTCATTCATTCATTTATTTCATCTCACATGTATAATCACTTTGTACAAAATATCTCACTTGCTGCATCTACTTGTCTAGAGCCAGGTGAGGCTGGTCATCTGTAATACAGGTTTTTACCTAGTACGGATACCAGTCTCTCACACAGATTAGCATTTTCTTGTTGTAAAGTAATCTGTAACTTTGTTACTAGTTTATTGATATGATTTTCTGTGTGAGATAAGAAATAAAATATTATTATTATTATTATTAATTGTGTATTACTAATTACCAATTGAACATTTAGGGAGTGCTATCACTCCCTATGTGTACTGATGTCTCCAATTATTATTATTTTTTTAATAAGACAACATTAGGAATATATCCTGTGTTGCGGGGGACTTTACAAACATATATGAAACGGACACAAAGAACACCCAGACTCAGAACAACAATTTGTGGATCACACAAAGTGTCATCCCATGTGGGGTTTGAACCCACAACATTCGGCGTAGTAGGAAGCGGCGTGGCGACCGCTTAAACTACTACGCCATCCGTGCAGTCAGTCTTTCCAATTGGTCTTTGATAGGACCCAGTAACCATAAAATGAAAGGGCAGTTAATATCTAAAACAATAACGTATTTTAACTCATTTGATAGAAATATGGAGGGTACAAATTTAAGTAAGTCTTACAAATAACATGAAATTTAGCATGTAAACCTTAAAGTATTAAACAACATAAATTGTAAGGAAATTATTGAGTTACATTACAATTAAATTGAAATAAACTGAAAGTTGTTGGGTACATACTATATTGTTTTTGTACTTTGAGATTACTTGTATATTTATGGCGGGTTTATTGATTCAAAGTACCCAAGTTGTACCCAAGACAAATAATTGTGTGATAAGCATTTGTTCTGTATCTGGGTGTTAATTTTCCTATACTATGTATGTGTTTATTTAAAAATTATATAAGTATATTTATCAGCAGTCTGATTACCATAACACAGGCCTTTGCCTAGTTTGGGGTCGGTGTGTAATATGCTTTGTTATGTTCAGTTACCTTTTTTAATTACATGGTCCGTATAACTATATTTTAAAGCACAGTTTTAACTTACCTTTTTCCCACAAAAAGGTCCGTAGACCTGACAGGTTTTCTAAACATTGGCCTTAGTTCCTCACACAGATCTAACACTAACTGCTTAGAAAGCAGGTATCTTTTTAAAAATTCTTAATCTTTGAAGGCAATAAAAGGATTCGTATCTTCCCTTAAATCAAATCATGACTTTTTTCTTGAAGAATTATCATCGTTATCCAAAACCACTCCATCCATTCATCCAATAACCAAGATCGTATTAAAACAAAGCGCGTTTTATCACATTCTTTTACATCAAAATTAATAATACGAAATCACCAGAAGGTAATACGAAATTTTACTTAAAACTGAATTTTAACAATTCAGTTTAGGTTAATAAATAGCAACTTTTATTGGATCGCAGTTGAGCCGATTATTTTGACAGATGAATGGACATTTAGTGAGCTTGTGGTTGTAATATAAAAAAATTAAAAAAAAAATTATGTGGTGTACTCTGTGTTATAAACAAACAAACAAACTAACTGGAGGCACCAAAAATACTAACAAATCAAATAAACTCGGGCGCCAGGTCCTCCACCTTAAATGAACACAGACCACCAACCACAAATACAATAAATGCCTCGGACAACTCGGTCAGCGCTAGACTTTTAATCTAGGACGGGGGGCAGCTATTAAATACAAAGATGTTAAGTTCAAGTGGCAGTTTATTATCCCGTAGTGTCTGTAGAGTACATGGTATCTTAAGGCTCTAATTACAATAGGTAATTCTTATACTCAAATTAGTACTGTCGTTAATGCAATCTGTTTCAAATAAACAAATAAAACAAACTAAAATTAAATATGTTTTAAAGAGTCACATAAAGACTTAATAGGAAATGAATCTAAAGGTAGTTGTAGCATCGACCTACTCCCTTAATAAAAATAACACCCCTTGGGGACCTGCAGTATCCGATGCCACGACGTCAAACAAATTAATTAAAAAAAACATACCTAATGACCTTGGCTCAGTCCGAATGAAATGAAGGCAAATTAAGGCTAATAAATCTCACTCCGGTTCCCACGTGGTGGAAGTGGCTGGTTAGTATTCCCCGGGTTCCTGATAATGGACTGCAGCTAAACAGCTTTTTCTACCATTATAGGTGCTCCACAGCAAACTAAATCCTTGGGTCAGGCCGGCAGTGAGGCAAAATCCAAATGTAACGCAATGCCATTACAATCCAATAAGAAAATAAGGTATAAATGGAAAATTTAGATATAAATTAAAGAATTAAGGTATAACTAGAACCCTGATTCATCTGTAAAAAAGAAAATTATAGGTTATTTGCCTATCTCAAAAGATGAATCCTAAATCTGGCAAGATACAATAGTTTACTCACCTGGGTCCCAAAACGTTTCACAAACAAAGCAGCGGCATTATAATTAATTCCTGTAACCAAATAAACAAAGATTTAGAACAACTATTCTCCATAAGCCAAGTATGAAGCACGTGGCTTAACAAGACTTACCTTTTCAATGGAAATAACAATTCGAACAATTAACTTGAGTCTTTAACGAGATTGGCCAAACAATAAAATATGAAATATGCCCTCGTTTAAAACAAATAAATTACATTTTCAAAAACTAAACCTTACTCCGACTCGGACAAAAACCAATGTGACGCCATCTTGCCTAATGTTGCCAGAACAAGAAAAAACTAAATCGATAAATTACCATAGACGATCAGCACCGACTATTATTCTCGTCCACCTCATCGACAATCGGCACTCGCTGAAACGTCATAAAATTCGACGGACAAACTAAAAACACGTCGATGATTCAATTTTCTGTAATGGTGCGAAATGCACCGTTACATGGTACAGTTTGTAATATAGTATGCGGTTATGGTACAAATTTCAGTGCATGAAACAAGAATAGCAGTTCTGTTTAGGTTGGTTTCATTTGTTTATATTGTAACTTGAAACATTTAATGCGCATTTAATTTTTGACGTGAATAATTAAATCAATTCAGTTTAGGTCTGCAATTGGATCGCAATAAGAGTTCATGGTAGGCTTGCAGTTCTGATTAAGCAAAACAAATGATAAACTACGCTAGTGTGTGGGCTCGACTGGACAAAAACATAAGGTCTGTCTTATCGTGTCTCATTTAGATCTTGCCCCTGTCTGAAATATATTTGAAACAGTTGTATGGCATCCGTAGTTATATTTACAGTCAATCCTTTCAGTTACGATTCTGGAGTACCATAACATTGCTCCTTTAAACTATAATTAAAATCTTTTTGAGTCCAAACATTTTACAAATCAATGGAGGTATTTGTTGAATTGTATCAAATGCTACCGAATTTATGAGCCTTATCTTTTTTAGAAGACAATATAAAGTTTTGAAACTATAACCAACCTCATTGCTGCTCAGCATTAGTGTCAACAGCTCCTCACTCTGGAGACAGCACCTCCTCAACTCATAGCAGTTTTCGAGCCTTGCGTAACATATGTAGCAAGCCAGTAAAGGCTTGCCATCTTTAGTTTCCAACTGTAAACAGAATTATTAAGGTCTATATTAGCCAAACAACCAACCATAATAAAGAATTTTCTACACTTAATTTCTACATGTTGATTTGGACTACACATTACTACATTCTTTCTGTCTACATGTTGATTTGGAACCTAAACCTTTGGATTTGAACTCACTTAGTTAATGACCAAGTATCACATCTCATCACATCAACAGCCATTAATAGTCCACTGCTGGACGTAGGAATCTCCTTAGTAATAATGTTTTGTGCTACTATACTACGATGGCAAGACGGGTTGGTATAGGGTTTGTGTCAAGTTTTCCTTTTCTTTGCAGTGCTCTTGACCTGCGTAGTTTGCTCCCTTAGTCGGCTCTTACGACACCCACGGAATGAATCAGGGTACTGACATTCCGTATGCTCAGTCTCTAAGGCTAAGTTCTTAAGACTTATCTTGGAGTAAAATATTAGCAAAGCAAATAGTAACAATGACAAACGCCAGACAGAGGCGTGCATGAGGACTGATAATCATCACACATTTGTAGCTGATTAGTTAAACTCACTCAAACATGTATTAACTTGGATTTCACTAAATGATTTTTTATATTGTTTGCATATAAATATTTTCACTCATTGTACATGAAACGAGAAACACCACGCACTGTACAGACAATTTCGGCTTTTGTTACCAGTCCATCGGTATAAGAAATGATTTAGCAATAACTTACCGGCATCAAAACCAAAGACTCGTACATTTCTTGTAGATGAGTTTCGACAATCGAACGCAGTCGAATGTCTTCTCCTAAACAAACTCTGCACATTGAAAGCATTTCCATTTTTGATTCTATGGCAAGTATACGCTCTCTCCTTGTACCACTACAATCCCTTTACTTTACTTTTATATTTTTTACCGTCTGTATCATATAAGAATTTGATCCGAACCATACTATGTTATGTACATATCAACTTCAACTTTTGGTTAATGGCTTTGTGGTAGAGTGTAACCACAATTTCTTCTTCTTCTTATTATTATATGGCAAACTGTGCCGATGTCGAAAATTCTGCCAATGTCAAGTGCGATGGAAATACGTGGGTTAAGAGAAATACACAGAGAAAAGGAATTTGCAACCATTACGTTTTTCCAAAATTAGCAGGTGGACTGCACATGGGTCTTTTGATTGTGGTTAGTACACTGAAACAAACAGACAAATACAAATAAATAAAGTATGTATGTAATATATAAAGAGATAATTAGTAGACAGACACAAATAAACATCACAATATTACATTAGGTACACAGGTCAAAGTTTGATGCCCTTGCAGCGGATGAAAAACATCAAGGCTTGTAAAAGTTTTGGGGAGGAAAAGGTAAGTAGGGATGCAAAGTTAATAGGGAGGGGAATTTTTAATTTAGTTAGGTATGAATAAAGGTCTAAGGATGGTTTATTTTTACTACAATTAAAGAAGATGTGGTCCAGGTTGCCTTCATCCAGGCCACACTCGCATAGAGACGAGTCCCGTACCCGAATTTTGTTCAAGAAGACAGGTGAGCTGCAGTGGCCAATACGAAGCCTACATATGGTGGAGACAACTTGTTTGGACACCTTTTTAAAATTAAAAAACCAAGGTTTCGGAGGAATGCATGGCTGTACTGAAAAGTAGTACCGGCCTTTAAATTGTGCGGACCTGTTCCATTCCGCCTCCCAGGATGTCCTCAACTCTCTTTGAGGCAGTCCTAGGAGGTCATAGTGATGGTGAACCATATGTTTCTGATCTGCCATTGGGGAAGTAGCAGCACTTCTGGCTAACGAGTCTGCACACTCATTGCCCATGATGCCACTATTGGAGCAATTGAAGAGGCTTTTTTTTATTTCAAGATCAAGGGGCTATGGAGTTTGCTATGGAATGGATCTTTTAGCAGGGCTTTAAGACAGCTAAGAGAATCAGAAAATATAGCAGCCTTATAGATGTTGTGCGATTCAACATATAGGCATGCCTCCAATACCGCGACACACTCGTAAATACAGAAGACTCTTCTGGACACTTAAACTGCAAAATGATTCTGGAGTTTTGGTAGTACACCGCAGCTCCAGTGTAACTATCGCTTGACAGTTTGGATGCATCTGTAAAAAACCTCTCAAACCCTACCAAGTGGTCATCCACATAAGCGTTAAAGGTGGAAACAGCCGAGGCAGATCCCTTAGAAATTCCCACATCCAAGAACACATTCGGCTTAAAACTAATGTAAAATTAAAAAAAAAAATTATGTGTGTGTATTGGGTCTGCGGTTATTAACAAACAAACTAACTGGTGGCATCACAAATACTAACAAACTAACAACTCGGGCGCCAGATACCACCTTAAAAGAACACAGAACCAACCACAAACACAATAAATGCCTCGGACAACTCGGTCAGCGCTAGACCTTTAATCTAGGACGGGGGCAGCTAATAAATACAAAGATGTTAAGTTCTAGTGGCAGATTATTATCCCGTAGTGTCTGTAGAGTACATGGTATCTTAAGACTCTAATTACAATAGGTAATTCTTATACTCAAATTAGTACTGTCGTTAATGCAATCTGTTCCAAATAAATGAATAAACCAAACTAAAAAAAAAATGTTGCCAGGACAAGAAAAACCAAATCGACAACCACCATAGACAATCAGCATCGACTATTATTCGTGTCCGCCTCTACGACCATCGGCACTCGCTGAATCGTCAAAAAATTCAGCTAACAAACCAAAAACACGTTGACTATTCAATTTACTGTAATGGTGCGAAATGCACCGTTACATTACATACCTTCCCAAAAAAAAATAAAAGAAAAGACTCTTTCTTTTATGCCGAAAAGTCAATACTCAAAGAAATTATACAACAAACAAAAGATTTGAAAACAACTAAACTCCAAAACTGACTCTACAAAAAAACTCTACTAAAACTCTACAAACTCCAGGAATACAAAAATCCAAACGCCAAAGAAGGACTATGAAAACTAAATACAGGAGTAAAAAAAACTCTACAAACAAAACAACAAAATCACACCAAATCAAAAAACAAATCTCTACACTAAACAACCATTAGGAATGGAAAATCCAAGGAGTGCGGTTGGACACCTTCGTCACCGACTCTAATGGAGCTACAAGCAACAACGAAATAAACTTCACAAACAACATCCATTAGGAAATGTATATCTAAAAGATATCAATATCCAAGAAGTGCGGTTGGACACCTTCGTCACCGACTCTAATGGAGTTACAAACTATACAAAATAAAACTAACAACAACAAAATAAACTTCACAAAACAACATCCATTAGGAATTGTATATCTTAAAAGATATCAATGTCCAAGGAGTGCGGTTGGACACCTTCGTCACCGACTCTAACGGAGTTACAAACTATACAAAATAAAACTAACAACAACAAAATAAACTTCACAAAACAACATCCAATAGGAATTGAATATCTTAAAGGATATCAATATCCAAGGAGTGCGGTTGGACACCTTCGTCACCAACTCTAACGGAGTTACAAACTATACAAAATAAACTTCACAAAACAACATTAATTAGGAATTGAATATCTTAAAGGATATCAATATCCAAGAAGTGCGGTTGGACACCTTCGTCACCGACTCTAATGGAGTTACAAACAACAACGCTTCACCCTAATATTGGCGAAGTGAAAAACACATTTCAAAAATGCCAAACCTACAAAATATTCATCACAACAAGACGGTGTGAATATATAAAAAAAACCTGTGTATTGTGATCGGCTCAACACCACCGAACTATGGGCACAATACAACAGAAACCAAACAAAATATTCAACACAACAAGACGGTGTGAATATATAAAAAACCTGTGTATTGTGATCGGCACCAAACCACCGAACTACCGGGCACAATACAACAGAAACCAAACAAAATATTCAACGCTTGGAAAAAAAGCGTGAATCCAACAAACAAACCAAATCATTCAACACTTGAAAAAAGTGTGAATCCAACAAGAAACAAATTATTCAACACTTGAAAAAAAAGTGTGAATCTAACAAACAAACCATTCAACCCTTGAAAAGAGGGCGAATCTAACTTCAACAAAACGCTCTACACTAGGTAAGAGTGCAAATACAATACAAACAAAATATTCAACAAAACACTCTACAATGGGTAAAAGTGCAAATACAATACAAACAAAATATTCAACAAAACACTCTACAATGGGTAAAAGTGCAAATACAATACAAACAAAATATTCAACAAAACACTCTACAATGGGTAAAAGTGCAAATACAATACAAACAAAATATTCTTTTGATGTGGTTCCCATTATGAATGAAGTTCCTAAATTAATAAACCAAAATGACCCAAGTAAACTTTCGAACTTTTAAACCCTAAAGTTAATATATTGTCAAGAATACCTCACACTACATCAACTTACAAACAACTATAGCCTAGCATACATCAAGCTACAAACTTCCTCATACAAAAGTTGAATCTAACAAATATATCAAATTAAGACCAAAAGTTAATGACCGAATAGTGAAATTTTAATATTTAATAATATCTTTAATGTGATAGCGACCAGTGGTGTTCTTTAAAAGGTCCTGCAAAAGGTAAACATTATCCGAAATCTTCTCTATAATTTTACATTTAACAGACTTAGGTGCACGCTTTGCCGAAATATAAGCTGGAGCATTATACTGAACAAAACTTCTTCTCCAAACAATATCACCAACATCAAAAGAAATAGAAATAGTAACAAATAATATTAATAATTTATAATAACAATATATAATAACAACTAATAATATTAATAATTTTAATATATAGCAATGCGCAATACGCTTTTAACAAATGTGACTCAAATCTAACAAAAATATCACTAAGTGATCTAAAAGAAAGGGCACAAAAATCCCTTTAACAAACTCAAGTTGGTCTAAACTAACAAAGAATTACTAAAATGGTGTAGAGAAGCATCAACAAATTAACTCTCTACCAAACATGAGAAAATTAAGTGTAAAACCAATAACTAAGGGGTTGAAGGTTCTAAGGGGTTGAAGGTTGATCGGGTAAGGGAGGAATAGGGGTGAAAGGAGGGGTTACTGGACATGGAATATCGGGAGGGTCGGGCGATTTATTTCCGTTCATGTTCACTTACCGGTAATAATGTTTAGTTACAAACAACACACCGTAACCAAAAGGACAGCACAAAATAACAAAAAAAAGACCCAATAGTCACAAAATCACCAAAGGTTTGAAAAAATTCTAGACGCACGTGCTAACCAAACGAACGACGCGCCAGAATCCCCGTACATATCTCTTTATCTGTGGGTTAACAACTGTGTCAACCACAGAGTACATTGGTGACAATTTTTTTTTTTTCTGTATTTTTATGGCCTGGTAACAAGACTTTTAAGCCAAGTCTTAATTTCATTGCATTCACAGTTTAGACAACATATTAACAAAATCACACTGATATATAGGTATTACAATCTTGACACTATTGGTCTGGTGAGTTTAGTGGTTTAGATTTTATTTTGAGGTTTGCCAAATGATTCCCATATTTTTACACGAAACGGGTTCTCCCTGTCATGATACACATCAGCATCAGGCACATTTTTTTATTTCAGTGAAACGAAACGTAAACGAAAAACTGCCTGGTGGATGTACGTCAAACTTTCAAATTATTTCAAAACTTCTCTGCTTCTAATTATCTTTTCTGTGCTGTTTTAAACTTTAACTCTGCTTCTCCCT